CAAGTTACCACAAAGCCTTCTATTTCTGGGCTACCCACTAGGCGATCCATCTGAAAGTGTTTCAGATGCGATTCTTGTTGTTGGCATCACAAATTCATTTCACCATTCACCTTTCGACAGACGAAATGGCCTTGTTGCTGTTCTACGAGCCATCCCTTCTTATTTTGTGTGTATTTTGTATCACAGAGAATATTGGTCACTCATCCATCCCAGCCAGTCCCCGTTCGTCTTGGTTCGCAATTCGTTGTGAGTTTTCCCGTGGTTTTGCACGATTAAACCAATGTACTGGGATCCTGAGACTGTAGACAAATGGTAACCGTCCATTTTTGCAGAACCGTCTGAAATCCTATCATCATTAAATAATTGAAACAACCGCACTGAAACGGATTTATTAGATTTTCATCGACGGCTTCGTCCCTACGTGATAGATTTTGATGGGCTGTACTGAGAGGGAAAATGGCAGATGTTTCGAACTAGTACTGTGTGAAAAAATGATTCATGGTATCTCTTTCAATGGGTGCTGTGCTCAGCGCCTGTAGCCATGTTCACATAAATGACAAGGCTAGAGAGAGTCTATTATTAATGATCAACGCTGGGCAGTAGCATCGAGAGGTCATCGGTTGGAGTTCACGTCGGATCATTCATATTCCTCCATGAAAAGAGGCAGGAGAGCACATATCGCATTTGTTAAACAGTTTTAGATTACACGCATATAATATGGCACTCGTGGCTGATGAATGGAGGTCGGCGTGCCATCAAAAATTTCATGAAAAGCAGCCGGCAGAAATGAACTCATCATTAAAGTACACAGAAGATAGTCATTTAAACGGTTGCAAACTTTTCCTCCTTTCTTTATTCGTGGGAAGTAGAGCTTATCTTGGAACGCTCGCTTTTTGCAGCACCGATTTTACGATTCGTCCTCATTACTTAAATATGCTCAGTTACTTTGGCATGAAATGTTTCATAATGTATTCCACGGTCGCGCTCAAACAAAGCATGAATTAATTGCATACTCTGGCAAGCTGCGACGAATGGAGGAATCGCGTTGTGCAGCGTGTTTTTCTCATTGACGTTTCAGTGGCCTTTTCATAACGAGCTTTTCTGCTCGATGGAATTGGTGAATATTTTATAATCTAAGGAGATGGTCGAGCGGTGACATAACTAGGTTCTGAAAGCTAAAGTATACGAAGCACGGATATGATAATTTCTTATTCAAAGGGTGATTAGAGTTGTTAATAACTGACCGAAAATGCTTCAAAAACTTTTGATTTGGAAATCTGCAATCCAAGCGAGGTCGAATTCTATCGATTTTACTAATGATTGAGATTAGTAGAAGCACTCTCCGAAGTTTTCCATAGTTTTTTAACAATCAGGAGCAGATTGAGTACCATAACATAAGATTCACCCTACTCACAGTAATTCATATATTGACTTCGTACTTTTGCAAAAATTAAATTCATTAGCTTCGATCAATTCAAGTCATTATACAATCACATTCCAAAATATTTGGTGAATTGAACATATCGAACAATTTGCATTATTCATGACGGTTCTGTTCATTATCATAATGATTATCATCACGTCTATTAACATTTAGTGCGATAGATAATTTTACTGCATCTATCAGCTGTAACCGACTAATAAGCATAAACATGAGATTAGCAGGAAAAGAAAATACGAGGCTATGAGTTGCGTGCACAGGCCGTCAATGTCTCAGAGCGAACAGGCGAAGAAAGGAATCGTCGAGCGTTTGTATCTCTCGGTTTTTAGCCAGATGTTTGGTTGCTGGTGGCTTGAGGTTTTGACAAGTGGATCGTACAGCACACGCTTAGCCATTGAAACTCGAGAGGCCAAAACCCACCGTTTGACTCAGAGCTACATTCTTGTTCCTGATCAAAATGGATCTGGAATCTTTGCTGCTGAAATTCTAGATTATTTTGATTGCTCGCTGAAATATACGAAGGTCAGCTATAAGGTAACCGGTTAAAGCCATTGGGTCATCTTCCGCAAAGATGATACTTGTGTCAGAATCGATTAACTGGTTTAAAAAATTAATGCATATGTTCTTGCTAGTGCCTGAAATAGAACAAGGCATGCCGGGCATAACTGAAAACTAAGCAGTGTATGGGCACTGCTTTAAATCATCATGAATAATAATGCCTACATATTTCTGCTCGCTAATTTCATGGACATCATGGACTAGTGGAAGACTATGAGCACGGCTTCCATTCGTGAATCTGTTAACGGAATTAAGAGCTCGCCCTACGTGGAGAACATTAGCTCTGACTGCCAAGAGTAGAGACGCATATACAAAATGTCCTTCGTTCTAATGACGACGCACCATAACCCCAGGGAAGAGAAAAATGCACATAAAATGATACTCCGTTTAAAACCGTAATGAGGCGTGGATATCGAGAATTTTCTTATCCATTTTAGGAACTGCTCGACAACAGGATTATTAATATTTTCAAAGCTTAAGGAAGTACTCACTTTCAAAGTTTTTGGTAGTGAATCAAGGACGTGGTTCATTTGATTTTGCCTCTGTTGCGCTAATGTCTTATTTAATATGCATCGTCCGCGTCGCGAAATTTGTGACGAATATGAATTACCTTGATCGACAAAAGACAGCCCTTTTCTTGCAAGTCACGTTACGAGTCGATATAAGATATTTAAGGAATGGGAACCTGTGTAGGCTTTACGTATTTGCAAAACTGAAGATTTTGCAAGCAGAAACTACGTCCCATTATTTAATGCCTAAGAATACTGGACAATACGGTACTCAAATGCTAATGACAATCAGGCAATCATGTACCAAGATCAAAAATATATTATTTATAAAGTAAAAAACAAAACAAAATAGGCTTATAGAAACGAATGTTACAAAATCAGATTCTAAGTTGAAA